AACAAGAGGTGCAAATTAACGAGAGATGAAAAAGAAGAAAAGGCTCCAAAAACAGGAATCAAGACTGAAAAAAAAAAAAAGAAATGAATAAATAAAAAAAGTCAATCAACAGAAAGAAAAGTTAAAATAAATTCTGGTGAATGAAAGTCACACTGAATGACACACAACCAAGCCCCAGCATCCACTGAAAAACGTGCTGTGGTGTTTCTCTAAAAAACTCTTTGATTAATACATGTACTTAACAACGGACTGTAACTACGGACCTTGACATCAAGTTTCCAGTAAATGTGTTTACTTGGTGTTTTTAAAAATAAATGAAATTAATCTATTCTTTGCTTATATATCAGATCTATCTCATCCGTAATAACATACGCCAACCATGAACAAATGGGCTTTTAAATTTCAAAAAAAAAAAAAAAAAAAAACAAAAAATAATAATAATAATATGAAGAGATGTCAGTGGCCTCATTTTTCATTATATTACGTTGTCCGGTATTTGATTTCTTTAAGATATTACGCCGTGATCACTGCATCTGCTTTGGAATTTTACGTCGTACACATCGTCCTTTGGCCAATCACGAGTGAATCATAAAGAAAAGGAAAATGTGAATTTTAAGAGGTGTCATCTTCACAAAATTACTAGTTTACATGATGTGTTATTTGTTGTTTTCAGATTGCCAAAAGGCTGTTAACCAACGATCGTAACCGACAGTTTGCCTTCTAGATTTATAAAAACGAAATTTCTCTGTACTGCAACAACCCTGAAAAAGAGAGAAATGCGAGGATGGACTGAAAACCACCAGAACACATGTAACTGTGCCGTGAAATATACATTTTTAAAGAGCTTTTTAAGGTTAAAAATCTTCTGAACCTTTTCTTGTCCCATGTCCACGGAACTTGAAGCTGCCAAAGCCACGTCTCGGGTAGCGCGTTCGGCTGTTAACCAAAAGGTTGGTGGTTCAAGCCCACCCATATTTTGATAAAGTTCTTATTTTTTTAGCGTTTTTTTCCTCTTGATTTCTTAAAATGACATTTCAGAATTCCAGTCAGAATTTAACTCCTAACTTTGACCAAACTGGGGTACATGTATACCTGTGTGCACTTTCCGAGTGTCCATTTATAAATGATAAATATTTGTTTCACAATTACCCATTTCTCAGTTAAAACAACCAAAACGTTACTTTTGTAACGTAGAGCAAATGTTTGTGTTGGAAACAATTCACCAAAGAATCTTACAAAAAGAGTGTAATGCATTAAACAGGCAGGTAATAAACCTTGCACAAGACAGTTTATCATGCGTTATCAGCAGGTCAGAGGCCTCATACATAAAGGCTTAAGCAACGGTGAGATAAAATATCAATTTACCTGCTGTCATGAGAGCCGCCAGGTGAGAAATAACACCTGTTAGACAGGTATATCGGTCTCTGTGGCGCAATCGGTTAGCGCGTTCGGCTGTTAACCGAAAGGTTGGTGGTTCAAGCCCACCCAGGGACGGTCCATTTTACATATTTTGTACGGTAGATCGATCAATAAAAATCTACGGCCCCGTTACACCAACGGGGAGTCAATTTACGACTGTCGTAAACCGTAACACCTGGCGTCCGTTTACTCTCCCTGTTCACACCCGTTGCACCAAGACAAAAAAAAAAAAAAAAAAAAAAAACACGGTCGTCTTAACTATGCCTAAGTAACGCTTCGTTGCTTCACTGCCCAGGAATACGTGGATGGTATAGTTGGGCTAATGAGAAGTTCCCAGCTGCAATGAGCATTTAAGAAATACAAGAAATACTAAATACAAGTGTGAAGAAATGCATCTTACTGATAGCATAGCTAGGATCACCACTGACTAGCAGCTGGGCTTCCCCCATCTCATGTTTCTCCTGAGCTGCTGACGTGTGAGGTAGATCTGTCATCAAACTCTCTCTGTGTCATCCTAGCCATAGAGGAAAACGAGCTACATGTACGACCGACATACACCACCTACGTGGCAGGTGTAGATTTACGCCTAAGTTAAGACCGACGTAAACACTATTCCAGTTTGGTGCAACTGGCTTTTCTCGGGCGTAGCGTTTTTGCGCTGGATTTACGCCGCACAACTGCTACGCCTAACTTACGACCGGTTGGTGCAACCGGGCCCAGCACAGTGACACTTCACGTTTTAGCTCTGCCGTTTAATCATGAACTGCAAAATACGACGGTACAACTTCACCTCGTTCCTCCCAAATGTCAATTTTTCTTACCTTCTACCAGGGTGATAGATGCATTTTACCAGACTCGACATTCAAAGATATGTCACCAGCTAATTTACGACACGATTCTGTAGAGAACGATGACACCGAAGTGTTTAACGTTTTCAGTACACTGATGTCCCGGTGTTTCGAAAGTAAGACCTACAGTACAACCCTAAATATATCTTCTATCCCAGGTGTAACAGAAACCCCGCCCTGCATTTAGTTATAATGGTTTAAATAAGACAAAATTAAGTTTGATAATATGCATAGTAAAAGTAATACAATAGATAAATTAAAAATTGGGCTCAGAGATCAAATCAGCTAGAACGACCTATTGTGGTATATCGGACTGGTGCTGATAACTTGATCGACATGTCGCATTCCAGGCCCGTAGCCAGCAATTTCAAAAGGGGGTTCTTTTTCTGAAAAAGTGGACCTTTTGCCATGAAGCCTTCAGGTGCCTAAATAAAATTTTACCCAGAGGGGACCTTTTCCCAGCAAAAGGGAGGTTCTATTGTACCCCCGAACCACACTCCTGGCTACGTGCCTGCATTTCATGTTGATATCCTTAGCTACATAACAATGTACCAGTAATGACCGCTACCACCATCGCCATCTCCAGGTACGTCCCACTCCAGTTGACCTGGTTTTATTTGGGATGGCCTATTTTAACCTGGTAAAGAGAGGAAGAATATGTATAATGTATAATGAAAGATTAACAGAATAATAAAAATATTTTTTGGGGATGAAAAAAGAGTATCTCCGACGGTAAGAGAGGGACACGTGTCTTCTGTGCCCTCTATAGGTGGAGTTGGAAAGGGGGGTAGGGAATGGGGGGGGGGGGGAGACATGATCGTCTTACTGCGTTGGTGTCCACCGTAACCGGGTTGCCTATTGGTCCATGTATTCTCTGGGTTTTGTGAGCGTTCATGCATATTTTACACTACATGTACACACTGGACTTGGGAAGTGCCACCCCTTATGAACCAAAACTTTGGGGGAGATAAATGACTATGGAATGATATGCTCCTGCTATCATTTTATTAACATCAAATTTCACAAAAGAAACTGTTCTGATTATTCTGACTAAACAATTCTACTGTATCGATATTCTGACATTGCTTATATTCCACCTCTTCAGGTTAATAACTTTGATTACTCTGATTCAGGGGGTGACACTTCTATTGTCCAGTGTGTGTACTTTATTCACCAATGTCAAAATAAGTGCATGAATTAAAATTGTTAAGCAGAAAGCGACAATAAACAATGTTGTTCATGCCTGGTCTCGCTGATCATTAATCCGCTGCGAAAGTTGTGAGATCTGTGTACGTTG